GTGTGTGTGTGTGTGTGTGTGTGTGTGTGTGTTGGCAAGAAACACACATAAAGTCTTAAACTGTATACAGTGTGTGTGGGCAAATGAGGTTTTCAAATTCAAAAATCCACCGACCACCTGAAGAAAAAATACTGATGCTGTGGTTTGTCATCATGTCCAGCGCCATCTTTGCCACATACACCTGCACCCATTGGATGGTACGAGCTGTCAATCACACTGTTTTCACGCCCCCAATGAATTCTGTGCTCTATGGTCAATTTGACTCAAAATGGACCAGAGTTGAATATCAACGTCAAAAAAAAAAAAACATTTCAATCAGGTCACAGATGTGAAGAGGAGATTTTCTGCATGTACATTAACCGCCCCTCTCTCTCCTCATGTTTTCTCTCAGTGTATTTTCTCATGTATGAACATTAGAGAATCGAACAGTAACTTTTAAACGTCCCGGACACAGACATGAATTTGCACTTTTATGCCCTCAAACATGGAAATGTGTGTCTGATTGAAATGAGCGTAATAAGCAGGACGATCATGAGTCCAGTGTGAAAACAGACTGGGTCTTGCACCCCTGTTCACCCCCCCCTGACTGCGGCCCTGTGTCAGGGTTAACTGCCATCTCTGTTAACTGTTCATGTCATATCCCCATTAACCTCCATTGTGGCTCCCCAGGCCACCCGGTCCTTGTTGAAACCTCCCTGGGTGGCAGTCAGCGCCTCAACATTAGCCTCCATTACAGCTCCCCTGGCTGCAGTTGCCCTGTGTAGGGCAGCCAGTGATCAGTGGAACTGAGTGTCTGTGCCTCTGAGTTATGGCACGCAGTCGGGTAGGCGGTGTACGTGAACGCAGCGGATGGCAGACATTTGCTCTCCTTTTTTTTTTTTGTCTTACCTATTTGCAGAAGTGCAGCAGCTCGACGTGGGCTGCAGCGTGTTAAGCGTCCGTGTCAGTTGTTTTGTGCGTAGCGCGTGTTTGGGGTAACCCTCTCTTCTCTCTGTAATGGGAGGCATGAACTCTCGCTCCAAACCCATTTCCAGCCCATCTGAAATACGGCAGCAAATTACCTCCAGTGGCGCCCTGCACACCGGCCCAATACACCCCAAATAGAAGTGACAGGACAGCGCAATTTATCGCCATAACCCCTGCACCGCCCCACCACCACCCAGCATCCCCACACACACACTTCAGGCTTGCACCTACAGCCACCGCACACACGCTCACCATCCACGAGTCGCTCAGTAGGCTGTGTGTGTGTGTTTGTGTGTGTGTGAGTGTGTGAGGCCTGTGATTGTGTATACTGTACGTACTGTAGCAGAAGTGTGTGTTGTGATACTGTGTGTGTGTGTTTGTGTGTGTGTGAGTGTGTGTGAGGCCTGTGATTGTGTATACTGTACGTACTGTAGCAGAAGTGTGTGTTGTGATACTGTGTGTGTGTGTGTGTGTGTGTGGTCTCAACACTCCAGTGTAGGGGCCAACCTCACTGCTCTGGCCCCCTGCCCTGCCTATTATCTCATTGATTTCCTCCTCTCCTCTTTTCAATTCTCTCCATTTCCACACTGCCGTCCTTTCCATTAGAGGAGCAATTTAACAGAGTGCTGTGACATGAGAGAGAGAGAGAGAGAGAGAGGAGGGAGGAGGGGAGAATGGGAAACATAAAGTGAGGAGGGGAGATGTAGTGGAAGAACTGGAGGGACGATGGGTAAAATAGAGGTGGAGGTGAGAGATGAGCGGATACACTGATATCGTTACGCTGAAGTTTGTAAACTGAGCTCAATGAACAGTTATAATCACTGAAGTTTTAATAGAGTGGAATTATCTCTTAACGTTTCCTGACGTTATCTGATTTCTTCCTTTCTCTCTTCTCCCTCGCAGGAGTTTCCTTCAGAGCCGCCTTCGCTCCCCCCCATCACACACCCAGCACTGGAGAGGAAGCGGCATGTGCTGGATTGGTGGATCCCTGTACCGGGTGTCGGCCAATAAGTTGTCCCGCACGGTGGCGTCCAACATGTCGATCAGCCGAACAGGTACGCTGACCTTCGCCACACATGGTTACACAGCGCGCAGACATGAAAATGAAAAACCCTCATACAGCAGCCTCTGAAACCGCATTTAAATCTGCAAGATTCAGATTCTTATTCTGATTTGCAGCAAACACAGGCTCAGAAACCAGTCCGATGAATTTGTCTAATTATTTTCATCAAGATCCATGAATCATTCCCTGGGAAATTGGTCCATGTCCCAACCTTCCACCAAGTTTCATGGAAATCTGTAGTTTTTGTGAAATCCTGCACACAAACAAACAAACCAACAAAAAGTGGTGAAAACATAACTGTTATCTGATCATTGGTGTCCAAACATGAGGTTGTGTTTATATTTTTAACTCTCAGAATTTTAGTTAGTTCATTTAATCTGATTAGCCATTGTAATCCTGCCGAATAATTAATGACAATAGTGTTTGTGTTTAAATCAGAATCAGCTAGTATATGAGGATGAATTCAAGAAAAAACACAGGGGCATCATTTAAACACTGTGAATCTGCCCAGGGGTGGAACAGTATCCTTTGATACTTAATAGTGTTTATTAGCGATCAGGCTAATTTCAATTTCAAACCCTGGCTCGGTTCAGGACGTGCGAGCACAGAGCAGTAAATCTGTGCACCCTGAGGTGATACAAGGGTGTTTATTCATGTTTGTGGCTGCAGCTCTGTCCACATGCTCTCTAATGGACTTAGTAGAGCTGGCTGGATTTGCCATCTGAAATAATAAACTTGTCATCTGTCAGAGCAGCGAGGGGGAGGGTCCGGAGGACTGGATGGTGCAGATTAAAGTCCGGATCTGCCTCTAACCCCCTTCACACTTCTCTCTCACACACATTCTGTAGCTGCTACACCTGCAGGGGAAATTGAGGAGCTCCACTCTGTTGAACTCGTGACCGGCATCCCAACACGTACACTCCTGCATCCTGGAGAAACTTGCCTCAGGTGTCCTCTCAGCAGGACTTGTGATTTCATATCGTTCCCTGGTTTAAGCTTCACATTCGTCCATCGTGTGGAGTTTGTAATCCTGTGCTGCACTTAAATCACACCCCAGCCGCACGCGATAAGAACTTTAACAGTCGGCGTCCGAATTAGATCTGTATCATATGTAACCGAGACCTCCTCACCTCCGTGTCCTCTTCTCATCTCCTATTCAGGGCCTCCAACAACCCTACACACACACACACACACACACACACACACACACACACACACACACACACACACACACACACACACACACACCTCTGCCTCCTCTGTTTGTGGAGTGCACTGGGTACATGGTGTTTATGATGTTCTCAGACAGAGCTGGACGTCACGTTTGGCTTTGGCACCTATGCGTCAAACCAGCACAGTATAAATAACCACTCACATATTAGGTTGTTATTGCCTCTGGCTGCAAAACCAAACCACACACTCAGACGCCTCCTGTTCTGTCTGCCATGATCAAAATAGTTAAAATATTATTATATTCATGAGAAGATGTGGGTAACATAACATGGAACATGAGTTAATGCAAGATTATAACGTTTTAAAATTTGAATGTGCTTCATGTTGTTTGTTTTACTGTTGGAGGTCGATTTAGCTCTTAGAAGACACTTTTGTTTAGATGAAGATACACAATGATAAAAGAGAAAGACATTATGAACTAACATTTGATGTTGTATATATTTTCAAAAGGGCAATACAGAGGAAAAAGAGGGAAACTTCCAGGGCCGGAGGAAGGATTCCTCTTCTCGGTGTCAGACATCTCCATGAGTTTGCTGAAATAAGATTCAGTGCCAGAACTACGCTTGATTTAAAAATATGTTCATAATTTTGGTTAAACATATATATTAACCATTTCTCTTCAAAAGTAACTTTCCTCTGATTGTGTGTTGATTCCACATTCTTATGGTTTCACATTTTCATCTAATTTATCCAATAATCCCAGTAGTTCTTAGTGTCACTAAATATTCACACTGTTTTTGTAAAAACAATGTCTCATGTCAGACATGTTTAATAAACGTTGGTCTCTGTTCTCTTCATGTAGGAAGGTTCTCCAACCCCCACGTCTCCTCCACGATTCCTGCTTGGACCCGACCCTCCAGCACTCGTCATTTAGCCAGGTAGGTTTTTATATTACACTGCCCGTTTCATCTCCCCTCATCAGAAGCACTCTAGAAAGAGTAGTGTGAACATTTCTGCATGCATATTCAACTTTTAAACTTCTTGATTAAAGTGCCCGTATTAATGGACATTTACAGGTTCATAATTTTAATTTGAGGCTCTACGAGAAGAGGTTTACGAGCTGTAATTTTCAAAATATACATTATTTGTCTCACTGCTGCAGCGTCTCTTTTTTACTCTCTGTCTCAATTGCGCCGTAGAAGCTCTTGGCCGGCCTCCCACAAAGCAGGAGATTGTCTGGCTCGTTCACAACAACAGGAGCCTGTAGAGCAGCAGGAGGCAGGACATGACGTATGAATTCTGCTGTGGAAAGATCAGTGTTTTAGTTTAGAACACACAGAAGAGTAGCTGCTGAGACATTTGTGTCCTCACATACAGTCCCTTCAGAACATTTCTGGAAAATGTCCAGACTTGAGTGCAGGTCTGAAAACAGCTTAGAGTTTGAGGGGCAGAAGCAGAGAGTTCTGTGTGAGAGAAGAAATCGTTTTAACGTTATCCTCAATTACTTAGCAGAGCTTTTTAAATGTGTGAAAAAGCTGTGACGCACTGAAGGAAAGAAAAACCTGAAAAGCATAATTTGGGCACTTTAACGACATTTATATCTGGGCCATCGTGTTGGCTGGTTTTCATACAGCAATGCCATCTTGAAATCAAATCCAGCCAAGGCTGTAGCATCTGATCCTGCCCCCCCCCCCCTCCCTCCCCTCCAATATTAACGGCCTTTCATCGCTGTCAACTAAAGGCTGTAAAGCCAGAAGTAATCTTAAAATTAAAATTAGCATACGGAGGATACTGCTACCCATAAGCCCCTCATTGGGGTGAGTTGAAACTAATCCTGGCATAGTTTGTCCTCTTTAGCTTCAACAGGCTGCTTATTGATTTGTGGATACTTGTGGTTTGTCTGTGTCTTCTGATCCCAGTCGTGCAGTTCAGCGGAGCCTCGCTATAATCAGACATGCTCACCAGAAGAAGCAGCAGAAGCAGTACTGCATGTACTACAACCGCTTCGGCAAGTGTAACCGTGGCAACAGCTGTCCCTACATACATGACCCCGACAAGGTGGCCGTCTGCACAAGGTAACGTTAACACACAATGTCATATCGGGGGTGGGGGAGGGGGACATGAGCAACAGGAGAGAAATGATTTATTTTGATGCTTAAGCTTAAGAAAATCTGATCAAACTGCTTTAGAGAATCTGGTTCTTTGATTAATAAAGCACAAGGTTCAAAAATAGAAAGAGAGAAGTCAGCTGCAGCTTCTGATGAGAATATCCATCATCAAACAAACCATAAAAATCTCCTTGCATGTGTCACTCAAAAGGCCGTAAATAAAGATGGACGACACGTCTCCACCTCCTCCCGACATCCAAAAATGAAGCTGAAATATCCCTGATGGAGCAAAAGTCTGTGCCGTAGCAATCTGCGGACGGAGCTGCGTGAGTGAGGTTCCACTGATAGATGCACTCGACCAATCGCCAGTCAGAGGCATCAACAATCCTAAAAGGAGAAGATGTTGCTGCTCACTCTTCTAAACTGAAGAGTAATAAAACCAGTGGCCCAGGGAGTCTAAAAACTTCTTACAGTTCCTCTCCAGAGCCACAAAGGTCCAGAAGACGCTGACTCTGCTCAGTACTGTCACCAAGCAGCTTATGCATCCCGAAGGATACGCCAGAATTGTGTTTGTTGATTTTAGCTCAGCTTTTAATTCTATGAAGATGTGTATTCTTTTTTTTAGAAAGCCTGAATTATCTTAATGTCAATAAAGGGCTAATTCTCTGGATAAGAGATTTTCTTTCGTGCCGTCCTGAGGGTCAGTGTTGATGGACGTGCGCACTGAGCCGGTTTCACTCGCTGGGGAAACGAGTAGAGACTGTGAAGAACTTCGAATATCTCGGCACAGTCGTGGATTACCAGCTGAGCTTCTCGGGGACACAGCGTCTTTACCTAAGAAGACGATGTCAGCAGGAAGATTGTTGAACCACATCTCTGTCTTCTGATATTTTGGCTTGTTCTTGTTTGCAGGTTTCTGCGAGGGACATGCAAGCAGGCGGACGGGACGTGTCCATTTTCCCATAAGGTGGCGAAGGAGAAGGTAAGAGACACGTCTTCAGTGCAAAGGCCAGAGTTGGGTGCAGAGTGTAGATATAAGATGACAGTATTCGGTGCAGCCATCATGTATCGTATTTGCGCTCTTGGCACGGCTCCTGTCTCCATGATACAGTAAAGGCTGAGGAACACTTGACCCGATTGGAAGTCGAACTTGTGACTGGAAGATCACCTGTCGGTTCGATGTACAGATACATCATGATGACATTTGTTATGGTGGATGTTAGAGTACAGGTGTCTCTTTCTGGTCTGCACGCTCAGCAAAAAGGAACAGGATCACTTGAATTGATGATTAGATGTTGATTGTACAACTTTTTTTTCCCCGCTGAATAATCAACAAATCTACCGAGGAGGATAAACGTCCATTGGAGCAATAATGAAACATATTGTTACCTGCTTTCCTGACAAATACGATTTATTTTTCAATATCAATTCAAAATACATAAATCACGTGATGGTCAAATCGGTGAACAGGTGTGAAAGGCTCCTCAGACCAACAGACCACAATTCAGCTGCACGATCGCTGCCGTCTTTCCGCTCGAACGACAACACGCCGATGTGGACGACACCAGATCAAATGGAGCAAACACATGAAGCTCGGTTCAGACTCTCAGCTCAGAAATCATCCTCAGACTTTCTTGGAATCTGGAATCGTTGGTGCATTTATTAAACCAAAGCTAAATGGATCATTTGGGCACATCATCACATCACATTGTGTCACCTCCAAAGCCTCCAGCTGAACTCTGAGCGTTTGAGATCTCTATGGGGAAGTCTCGCCAAAAAGGGAAAGCTGTTTGACACACACACACACACACACACACACACACACACACACACACACACACACACACACACAATGCCCTGCACCTGTGTTGGTTGTCACACTGCTCCCTCTAAGTGCTGAGAGCCCAGCTGTCTGTTTGTAATGCCACCTCTCAAACAGCACCCCCATCATCCCCCCAAACCTTTGGCCCGCTCTTATTTCATGTGGACCCCTTAAACAGGACAGAGGGGAGGGGGGTCTAAAATGTGGGGAGCGTGCGGGGGGGGGGGTGATACACCCAGCAGCTCTCCAAACCTGATCCGGACTCTAGTACGTAAAGACATGCCAGAATCCTCAATTCCAACGTCCCCCACCCTCTGGTACCCCTACTACCACAAATACCTCGCAAATGGACACCCCTGACCCAGCTCCCCTGATATCACCCCCCCACCCACACACACCCGAGAACCCCCAGTCCTCCCCCCTCCTCCCCTGGCCCGGTCTGTGCACACATCCAGTGCACATAAACACATCCTGAGAGCTGGACGAGCTGCAGCCTGGAGAAATATTTCTGCAGCAGTTAATTAGGTAGAACTGATCCCACCCCATCGAGGTGGAGTCCCTCTCACACGCCGCCTCCCCCAACCTTTCGCCCGCTGGACCCCCTCTCTGAGGTATATTTAGAGCGGCCTCCACCAGGCTTGCCCCCACACGTCAAACAGTAGATCTCCCTGCACAGACACACGCACACACACACACACACACACACGCTGTCAAGACACACATTCACTCTCACTCTGCCGCTGTCATCTGCAATTAAGGTCATTTAGCTGCTCAGTGTGACAGATCGTTTGGCACTCGGGACGCGTCTTCTAAACTGTACACGACGGTGGCGTCTCGCACAAACCGCAAGTTTGTTTACAAACTATAGAATCTCATGTAATCTCGTGGTCTCATCACGCCTGCTCGCTTTCTCACAGGCATGTTGTTTCTCACACTCGTCTCAACCCCTTTGTTTTCACACTCTGAAGTTTCAACCAGGAAACTTTGACTGGTTTTAATTAATGCCAAGAATTGAATTGATTTTATTTGTATTCCACCAAATCGCAACAAACATGATCTGAGGGAACTTAACATCTGACAGAACCAGACTAAAGGTTGTGAGGCGTCAGAACCTTCTCTGTAACTCTATATAATATGTTAGAATTATTTTCTTGACTTGTTTACTTACATCGGCCAAAATGTTTCCAACAAACTTCCCACTTTTATTCAAGGTAACGGGATGTTTGGCTTTTAACTGCGTGTTATCCACCTAAAACCTTAGTCACGTCAATTAGATTTGTGTCTGCATTGGCAGTGAAGACAACAACTCCCATGATCCCCTGCAGCTTCATGCTGTCATCAAACTAGGTCTTTTGTTATTGTTTTCATTGAGAGACCTCTTAGTGCTGCATGTCCCAGGAGTGCCAATAAATGTGATTCTGCTTTGACTGGTCAGGTTTAGAGCTGAGAAATGGGTGAGAGAGGACAGGAGGAGGGACAAAGTGGAGACAGACCCAGGGACACGGTGATAGTAATCTAATGAACAGCGTCTTAGGTTAATATGTGTGTCTGATTCTCTCCAGATGCCGGTGTGTTCTTACTTCCTGAAGGGAATCTGTAACAACAGCGACTGTCCCTACAGTCACGTCTACGTGTCCCGCAAAGCTGAAGTCTGTGAGGACTTCGTCAAAGGCTACTGTCCAGAGGGAGAGAAGGTACAAACACACGTTCACTCCACCTGTGACAGCGTGAGCTGTCTCATATTCATCATTAAAACATCAGAAGTAAAACACCTGCTCAGACAGTGGCTGTCTGTTGTTTGTCGTCTGACACCGTCACCTGATCCCAGAGTGACTGTCTTTCTGCTGGGGAACGTGAAATCATGTTGTAAAACATACATGCAGTTCCACTCATGTTGAACTGGGGCTTAGGTAAACAAGTAGTTTGGTAACCAATAACCCCCCCCCCCCCCCC